ATAGTTGAGGTGTTAAAACTAAATCCCCTAAAACTCTAAAATAAAAGCCAACAACTTACTCCCTCCCAAAGTAACCCCCAAACAAGCAGGAAAATCCCTGTATGTATTTATACATTTTGTTTTGCCAAAGTCAACAGGCATTGTATAACTGCTTTTCTGTAATGGAATCTCCATGTATATATCTATTAAAAAAAGTTGTTATGCATATTTTTAGTTGGCTTGTCTAGCTTGTTCACTGTGAATTGTATATAAAGATAAAAATAAATAAATAAATTGCCCCTCTCTCTTCCTTCCACTCCACTGAATCTTGTTTATTTCCATGAACCAATGCTCTTTCCTGGTGGCTTTGAGATTGTTTTTTTTTAACATTCTCTCAAGTGTTTTGCTGTTTAGCCCCTCTGTTTTGGCTACAAATTTTATTTAGAAACTCCTGGTTATCGTATGTTTATTGGTAAGGCATGGTCTAAACATACAAATAGGTAAAATCCCTTTAAGCACTTACATGGAACTTAAGTTTCAATCTGGAATTAAGAAATTTTATCTAACCAAAGCTCAGGTGTCTTTGCAGACCAGGACACGTCCTGGTGAATGCCCCATCAATTATTTTAGTGGTGTGATTATAGTCAGCTCATGCAATCTTAACATCACAGAAATTGTAAGATGTAGTTAGATGCCTATAACAAACTTTTAGAATTTTATTCTCTAAGAACTTCAAACATAATGTTGCTTTCAATCACTTCTAAAATGTTTCCTACCAGAAAACTTTTTTGCTAGATATTTCTTCCCTGGTGAGGGAAAAATAAAAATTTATGATTTTATTACTATTTTCTTATTTCAATTATATTAGCTCTGATTTTAATGCATTAGCTTGAACTGCTATCTCTTATTGTGTTTCTAGCTGAATTATCTTCTAGCAGAAATACTTTTTCCAAATGTTGACAGTGTACCATGATCACTGTAATACTTTTTTCTTTAATTAAGCAATGTTTCTTAAGTCTTTCATCATAAAATATTGTAACAGCGAAGCAGGAAGAAAAAGGGGGAGGGATTCTTATATGATTCAAGAGATTTGAATAATCAAAAGAGGAGGGATAGCAGAGGGGAAGAGAATAGTATAAAAGGAAGGGATTTTGTAAATTACTTTGACTGTTAAAGTGCTCTTGCTATAAACTACTTACAGGTTTTCAAGTGAGTTAAGAAGTCATGCTTTGAGGGCATGAGAAGTACTTGAGCACAGGAGTGGAGCTTATCTGGGAAGGAGTCTGACAGTTTAGAGCCAAGTTTTCCAGAGCTTCATTTGTTCTTTTAGAGTTTTGATGAAACAATTCCAATTGTGATGTTGAACATACTGATTCCTCATTTCTGAAATCTGCTATATATCCCTTATGTTTTCCATGTGTTCTGAAAACTTTGTAGACAAAGATGTAATTTGTATATGAGCATAGTACATTCTTTAATCATAATTTTGCAATATTTACTTCTATAACTCTTGCAATAGAGTTAATATTGGTTAAGACTATACAGCTTTAAGCCACTTTAAACCACTAAGTTATACCATATAGTGAGTAGCTGTGTTGATCTCCTGAACCTTGATTTAATCTAAAGTGTCTAGATCATTCATAATATTTAAAATCCAAAATATAAATTATCATTCTCATGTGGGCTTTCTCATAAATTTTCTCAAATCTATGCATATGCATAGTGCTGGGTAGCACTTCTTCTTTGGACCATTTATTTATGATGTGCAGGAGACTGTTTTCAATTTTGTAGTCTACTTTTACTGAAGGGATCTTTAAATGTACTTTTATCTCTTTATCTGAAGAACAGAAATAGAATGATTCAGGCAGCTTTCATGTTAGATGATTTGAGAGGCATCTGTAGATGATAAATAAATCCAGTTCATTTCTGATTTAATTTCCTGCAAATGCTTGTGCTCCTGTTTCAGCAACCTACCTCTGTACATCTAAGTGACTTTTCTTTATTTCATTTTACCAAAAGTATTCTTCATTTGGATCTCACAGCTCTTTTCCTTGTGTGTCCAAGATGCAGCAATAGCTCCATTTGTATCAGCAGAATCTGTCACCACATGAAGTATCACTTTCCTGGCTGGAGGACTGTAAACAGGCAGTGTAACTGGTGACTGAATTTTTGTAGATGCATGTGTTAGGAAAATGAGGAACAAATCATGTAGTTTCATGGCAGATTTGGAGGATTGGAATTGGTGGCTACAAGTTCAATGTCTTCTTTGGCTTTGAATGACAAATACCAAATACCTTTCTTAAGATAGAACACTGCTTGATCTCTTAATTTTTGCTCTTTCTCCCATACAACATAGTGTGTTCAGTGATGTGCAAAAATTTGTCATAGACTACAGATAGGAGCCCTTCATAACTACTCAGTGGTAGTAATTGCTTCTTTACCCATACATTGTTGAAGAGGAGAGATTTCATTGTAGAAAGAATGAAAGCTTTTTGCATTATAGATTTTTGCTCAGCTATTTTTTCCATATCTAAACAGGCCATTGATCCTGGGATACTCTCTGAGAATCGGTGGGCCAAAGAGTGAGCAAAAGGAAGCTTGACAGCTGAATCCATTTTTCTAAAATGATTGTCCCAAGTATCTGTAGAGGTGGACTCTCTAGTCTTAAGGACACAAACGTACTGTCTTGTGTTAATCTTTTGACGTGAAAAAAAAGCTAGGAATAATTTTGAGGCCAGGAATCATACTGGAGGATTCTGTCCATCTAGCTGTCTGTCCTAACTTTTTGGCCTGTAAATTTGTGGTCTGTTATTGGGAAGTTTTGAAGTGAGGAGACTCAGTCAAAAACATATGTCTTATGTTTTGTTTGGGAGTTTTACTTTTTTTTTTTAAGAATGAAATCATAGAAAAATAATACTGCCTTGTTGCTGCGGTTTATCTTTTCCAGTGGAAGTCTGATATTTTGAAAGTTTAATTTAGAATGTGGTATGAACTCTTTCCTTGTAAATTCCGGGGTATTGTTCTTATAATCTGTGTGTTGTAACTGAAACCATTCCTTGTCTGTTTGTTGGAAAAGATCTTGAAGAGACAAACCCAGATTATCTGCTCCACCTGTTTGAAAGAATAGGAGGGAAGTAAAATGTATGTGGAAAATAAAGCAGGAACAATAAAGTTCTTGCTTAAATCTGGAAGAACATACTTTAAATATCTGTTATGTAGAAATATGGGTTTTCGTATATCAGGAGAAAATAATTAATTAGCATGTGAGTGTTGACAAATAGTATAGGGTCAGATTTATGACATTTTGTTAACTGGGACTTTATAATAGTATATGTAATAAAACATGAACCTTAACAGGAATTGATGCTTTGTCCCTGAGTGACAGGCTCTTGTCTGTCCCTGCCATTACAAACCTAAAAGGTTGTGCCTTAAGACTAACTGACAAGCTGTGGCATGTCTGTTTTCCTGAAGCCCTTTCCAGGCTGTTCTTGGTACACTCGATCTGCTGTCCTCTACAAATTACATTCCCTGGAAACACTGCATGTGAGAAGGCTAAACTGAATGTATAAAGGATCCAGCATGAAGACTACTTGCAAAGAATTTAAATGAAACTGAGGGGGAAAAGTGCTTCTGTGAGTTAGATTTAAACAGTCTTGAAATGAAAATACTATTTAGATGTCTTTTTTCATTCTGCAACAAAGCTGGTGCAGAGGATTCATCCACAATGTGTTGACATTATCTCTAATAATGTTATATATCAGACAAGATTGCAGATAGGCTTCAGCCATGTGTCAGACTAGCAGACTCTTACAGATTGACAGCTGATAACTGCTTAGAAGGATCCCAAATTCAAGGGGAAATTATAATTTCAGTACAATACCCTGGACACTAAAGTAGACTGCAGCAGTTAGTAGGTTAGAAAACTTAGTGGGTTGTTTGAAAAAGCCCTATTCTTGATTCTGTTCTCATTTATCCTGCTCTGCTACTCTCTCTATAACCGTGAGTTTCAAGGCTGACATGAGCATTTAATCTCTTAAACCGTATTATGTATGTTGTTGCTGTTGTCTTTTTGGTCAATCTTATGCTTTAGTGGCAAAACATCTATCAGGATGTACCTACTCACTTGATGTGTTTAATTGGCTGAAGTCAGGAAGTTGCTAAAAAGTTTGAAAATAATTTGATGGAATTCTTTCTTCCTCCTCGTAGTCTCCTGAGGTGGAGTACTTAAGCCATGGGAAATGATGAATTCAGTTAGAAGTGCAGTGAGAAAGAACAGAGTCTGCTTTAGGATTTCATAATTGAAAGGATTATGGGGCAGGGGGCTGGGGGAAAGGAGCTTAATTTTTGTTCTTTGTGTCTGTGCCAGTGCTTTTGTTAGTAATCAAGTTACTGTGGCTCCCGTTACATAGGTAACCATGTGTGTCTGTGGTGGCCAGGGATGGGGAGTGTTTTGGGGGAATCCAGGATAAAAGATACTTTAATAGTGTCAACTTTGACTTCTGCTCCAGTTAAAAATCTTCAAAAATAATACCATATTAACACTGTTTCTAATCTATGGGGGAAATGCAATTTTGGAAGAAGAATACTATATAAATTATGTTAAGGAAAGAAGGCAACAAGTCAGTCCAGTCAGCAGTCAATTGACAGCAGTCAAATTCTGAATTTCTTGATGGCCTCTGCTCTCCACAACACCTTTACACAGTTCCCAACTGGTCCTGCTTGGTTATACCTGGTTTCTCTATATTTTTGTGATCTCCTTTGTTTCATAACTCTTATTTTAATTACCTTTAATACATTGTTAATATGTGAGGTAATCTGAGTTATTCTGGTGGGTTAAGTCCCTGAAAGCAAACTTCTCTTGCCTTACCTTCCAGGTTTTATTGGAGTTTCCCCTGTCTGACATGCATGTGTATGATTATTAACCTCAAAATGTTACCATAAATAGCTTTTATTTCAATGAGAATTATTTTTACATCAGTATTTTCAGTGGAAAATAACTAAATTACTTCTCTTGCTTTCAGATGGGCACCTTCAAGGCACATGATGGTGAATACATTTTAGAACCTCTGATGAAAGCGGATGGAGGTGAACATGAAGATGAACATAACAAACCACATCTTATATACAGGCATGATGAACTTAAAAAAGAGTATCAGAAATCCTATAAACCTTGTGAAGTTTCAGGTAGAGTCATACTTTAAATTTCATTGTGCCTTTTTCAAATGTCAGTTGTTCTAAAGAAAAAAAAAGCAAGATTTTATTTTATATATATATATATATATATATATATATATATATAATTTTGTTTATATATTTATATATATTAATTAATTAATATTATATATATGTGTATATATATATGTAAATAATTTTTCTCCACATCGTGCCATTAGAACCTACACATTTCTTTGACATAAGCTTGTCAGCTTTTCCTTTTGTTTTGTGACAGTAGCAAATTCAAAAGTAGGACTGAATGTACATATAAGAAAAACCCATGATGTTGCAAGAACTCTGGTGGGGTTTGCTTTGTCCTACATTGTCCCATATGTAAACATTGAAATAGTAGATCCACAGGAGCTGTTGCTTATATTCACAAAAGATAATGAACTAACTGCAATTCTAGCAGATAATAAAAGATAATGAACTTACTGCAAGTCTAGCAGATAATACATGAACTTCTGTCTTCCTTAATAATGGAAGTATCTAATATTAGTCATTAATTTAATACAATCTAATCTTACCCATTATTGTAAATGTTTGTCCTTGTGGGTATTTTAATAATTTATTTACACCATATATTCATAATATTTAGTATTATTCAAGGTTAAAGGAAGGGGGTCAACAGAACCTCTGCCTTGAACTTTCAGAGGGTGGACTTTGGCCTATTCAGGGCACTGGTTCAAAGTGTCCCTTGGGAAACAGTCCTTAATAACAAAGGGGAACAGGAAGGCTGGACATAATTTAAGGAAGAAATTTTACAGGTGCAGGGAAACGCCTGGGGAATGCCATCCCTATGTGCTGAAAGCTGAGCCAGCAAGGAAGATCAGCTCCCTGATCAGTTACTGGGCTGAACAGGGAACTTTGACTGGAACTCTTCTTGAGGAATATCTGTGTAGATGGTTAAAAACATAAAGATAAAAAAAAAGCTTGGGTGATTAGTGTTATTAATTTTGGAAATTTTTTATAACATATTTTGTAGTCGAAAACATTCTTTTGAGAATTTTGCTTTCCCATAGCTATTAAGGCCAGAAAATAACCACTTCAAGCAAATGTTCTTATTCCTATGCCTTTGTTTATTAAACGATAAATAATATGTACTGAACCAAATGAGAGGTCTTTCAATTAGTTTTGCAACTTTTTTCTTTAATCTAAACAAGCTAGTGTGACAAAAAGGCTTCAGGCATTAAGAACATAGTTGTTTTCTGCCTTTTCATTTTTTGGAACAATTATAAGAGATTGTGAGCTAGGGCTTACTGTCAGTTTGGGGGCAATGAAGCTGCAGAAATGTTTATGAAGAAAAGCTTTGTGTTTCTATGTTTATGTTCTAAAAATGATGTGTCTCCTTTAATGCTAGTCTTGCTTGGTTATTCATATCTTTTCTTTGCAGAAGAACAACTTATATCATTACTTGGAATCATGAAAGTTTCTCTTTCTCTAGTAAAGGAACCTTGACAGATGATATGGAGGAACATACCAGTCAATACATATTTTTAGTTTGAAATTGGGCCATGGTAATTCTAAAATTGTCTAAAAAAATCTTTTCTCCACTTTGTACTGTTTTCTTCTAAAACTAGTTTGCCAATGAAGAAATTTTTTGCAACTCTAATATATGCCTTATTCAGGTCAGGATAGGATATTTATTGCATCTCCTCAGTCCATAAGTTCTGTTTCTTTTAGACATGGAAGCTCATCAGAGTTTGCCAGAATAGGTTTTGGATAAGTCTCATAGCTATTACTTATCCACTTGTTGATTTATGGTGTTGGTAAACAAAATTAATTTGATCTGTTCTTGATTTGTTTGATCCATAAATTTAGATAATCTTTGAAATCTCCCTTTAAATCTGAGTATTATTTCCCGTTTTGCCAGTACTCTGGAATCTCAGACACTTTCTGTGACCTAGTAAAGATTGTGTGTATGAAATTGCTTCAGCCAGTTCTCTTCAGTGCATCCAACTTAGTCTAAACACATAAGAGTATATGTGGATACTATTGAACTAGTTGCTCTTCAGAGCCAGCCCCTGCTTTCTCCCCTCATTGTTAGTGCTAATGGCTTCATGATTCATATAGCTTTATTTTGTGATTGATTTTTAAGCAATTACTCAGTAAAGTAATTGCTGTTGTCACTACTGTTTTTCTTTCTTGCCATATTGTACCCTAACTTTAAGGAAGACAAACTGTGGATCTCTCAAAAATACCTTACAGTTTAGACATGAGGGCTCTTCCCTTGAATAATGGAATGTGTAGATTTAAATCCTCTCAAGTTGAGGGTGACAGAAGTGTGGTTTCTGAATTCTTGGGTCAGTGCTGTGGTCACTAAGTCATTAGAATAAAATGATTAGGAGACATATCCTTTGGCTACTTTTTAAGAGGGAAATCAAGTTTCCACAAAGACAGTGGAGGTTTCCTCTGAAGGGGCTGGAGTGCCCAGTTAGCTGCTCAAGTGCTAGAGGGCAGTGAGAATTCAGATACGCTTCTCTGTTGGGTATTTTTATGTGATCTAAGGTGACTCTGGTAAAGGCATTGTTTTTCTGTATCAGGCATCAGAAGCATTTGTTGGCTGGACTACACAGTATAATTGGAAGTATTACAGTACTTAGTTTGAAGATATCTGAGTAGATCGTGTGTTTCCTAGAGCCTAATTCTACATAATGAATATTTACAAAACTGTCAAAGAGATCACTTAAGGCTTTTGGTGTGTACTTGCTTATGAAGTTAAACTCCATATTTATTTAAATATCATGTTATGTGAATTTGAAAGTCAGTAAAGACTTGAATTCAGGAGTTGGAAGTAGTTTGATTTTATTTGTTCTTCTGGTGCCAAAAGTTTGTGCATAAAAATGCATTTTGTTTAACTAACTTGTGTCCTTTGTTGTACTGAGTAAGCTGTAGTGCTTATCTCCTTCCAGCCTTCCTGTTTGGATTATACTGCTTTCTAGGAACTGTGTAGTATTGCTGTGTCTTAACTAATTTGTAACAAATAATCCATTTATGATAGAACTATTTAAAAATATTCAAGACATCTCATTTGGTGTTCCTATTACAGTCTTCTGTGTTTTGGGGGTTTTTTTTAATGCTTCCACAGTTTCTCTTGGAAATATGATCATAAATACAAGTTTTTCTATTTTGGGCAGCCTTTTGCCTTTGTATTTAACAACTGCATTCAACAATAAATCTTTTTATTTTACAGAGAAAGAGTTGCAGAAGAGCACTTTATTACATCCAACCTTCAGCAGTTTAGATGAAAAGAGCAGCATTTTACAGAAGTCTCTCAGTTCAGAGTATGCTTTAAATAACATCTCCACAGAGGATGGTGGCAATCCACATTCCAGGAAGAAACGTTTTCTTTCCTATCCAAGATATGTAGAAGTGATGGTCACAGCTGACACCAAAATGGTTCGTCACCATGGGCAGAATTTACAGCACTATGTACTAACTCTGATGTCAATAGTAAGTAAGTTCTTAAGCATTAGGAATTTTAATTATTTCTGTTCTGTTGTTTTCTTTTCTGCAACTTTCCTGTCTTCTGGTTTGATCAAATTCTGTATAATAAAAAGAGTTTACATAAACATAAATAAAAAAGATGGGTCAAAATTGGATCTTTTCAGTTTAATGCAGTATACCATGTGTACGTGAAATTATGAGATCCATTTCCTGATTTTCTGTTGCTTTAGAAGAATTCTTAAGTTTCAGGGTGTGAAAAATACATATTAATTACAGCAGACAGATATTAAATGGCATTGTGAAAAAAAAAAGCTTGGTTATAGTAATCCTAGTTTTTCACTTTTTCAAGAAACTTCAGATCACTATGGGTCAGACTTAGAGTTGGTATAATTTATTTGTGATCTTTATGTGGTAAATTCTTTCTTGAACCAAAAATGATTCAGAATATAGTACAGTAAGCTCTAAAATCAAAAGTTTTACCTTGACATCACTTGAATAATCTGTTAGGAAAAGGCATGCTAACATATTCTGCATTGTAATTATTCATAGATTTCTGTCCTTACATCTATTCAGGAAGCTTAATTTATATGAAACTACATCTACCTTGGGGGTAGCAAATTAAAGCACCTATCACATAAGTATCTATAGAGACATCTGCTTTTAGATGGCTTTTAACTTGACCAGTTACAGACATCTACTTTGGATGAACAGAATAGCACTGTAGTTTTACCATGATTAATTAACTTGCTTCATAAAAGTGCCCCATGCCATTTAGGATGTTGTAGGACATCTGATGTGGCTTCAGCTGCTGCTTCAGCAAGCTGTGCAAGTCTCCTGTAAAACATGTAAAACATGTGTTGCATCTGCCAGTTGTGCATTCTGATAACCTATGGTGCGTGAAGGGGCGCTGGGTAATAGGCACTTAGAGAACTGAGCTGAATTCTGCTCACTCTAATATCCACATCTCCAGCTGATGACACCAGAGCTGCTGCCATCTATTACACAGATGATGTAGGTATGTAAATTGAGAACATGGAGTTTCTTTTAATTAGTTTGTAAGAAAAATAATGTTTTGAGGGAGATTAGCATATGTTAATGTAAGCCTTCTGAATTTTTCTACTTTTAGTGGTGTGAAGGTACAAAAGTTCATGTATTACCAAAAAAAAAAATCCATACTGAAAGTTCTTTTGCCTCTTACAGTACAGAGGAATTCTTTTTGAAACAATTAATCCCTAAGATGCAATTTTTTTATAGTTACTTCCTTTATTAAAGAGGTTTACTAAGGAACAAAGTGAAGTGGTAAAGACATTACTTTAAAATAGAAGCTGTTTTTTAGAGCACTTTACAATAAGATGAAAGGGAACATTTATTATATCTATTTCATGAGGCCTTGTTGTGATTATAGGTAATTCCTGATTTTTTTTTAAGAAGAAATCATTATTCTTGCATCTGTAGATGTTGTACATTCAAGTACTATTCCTTACAGTGCCATATTTGTCTTGCACAGTTGGACTTTTAGGTGAATAAGATAAGCATTGTATAATTGCTATTAAAGATAACCCATACATGAACTGTTTTTAAGATCTAGTATTTAACATATACTGTATGAGTGAAAGAATACCAGTTCTTTTCTAAAAACCTTGTCATTTCTTTCTTGTGCTTTCCTACCTGTACTGTAAAACTGGGGTTTGACACTTACTGCTAGCTTTGGGGTAATAGCCTTCAATAGGCCACTGCATCTTTAATGTGAGTGTAATATCTCTGAATGCCTCTGAAGGTGGTAAGATCTATTGCTTGCATCTGTTGGCAGCTCTATTCCACATACATATAAATATATATATATATAAAAATATATATACGCAGAAGAAAATAATCTTGAAAGAAAAATTTCTTAAGATGTTATTTCTAGTAACGTTGAGCTTTTATAAATGCAGATATAAAAAGTATAAATTCAGATCTTATTTTTAAAATATTTTCTTTACAGTTCAGTAAATTCCACGCACTCTCCCTTCTCCTGCCTCCATTTCCCCCGCAGAATACAAATCCCAGCTTGTATCCCTTCCCTTTTGATTTCTTCCAAGCATTTTCAGCAATGGCTTGGAATCACAGAACAAGTGGAAATCATCTAATCCAACCCTCTCCTGATATAGATATTAGTCACACAAATAATGTGAATGAATATACAGCCTTCTATAACTTCTTATCCATAACAGTTATTTTTCTGTAAACTAGTAAAAAAATGTGAAGGATAGGAAAACAAGTGACTACCATTCTTTGCTATGTAATCTGCATTAGAATTTATCAGTATGCTTGTGGGTCATTTCTTGACCCACAGCCTCTTAGTGTTTGAAATGGAACCATTTTTGGTCTTATTTGATAGCCTATAAAGGAAAGAAATTAAACTTTTAAATTTTATCCTTTCTGCCATTATACAGATAGCTTTGGTTATTAAATTTTACTGGTACTAGTATCTGGTCAAGCAACTTCTGTTAAGGGAAATAGTCAGGTTGCTGGCATTTTAATTGAAGCATTACACTTTACTCTTGTAATAATTCTGAAACTTTTAAGGTTATTTGGTTCTGGCTTGGATATTAAAGAAACCTAAAAACTTTAAGCATATCAATCACATTAAATTCAATGCAACTTAGACATCTAGCTCCCAGAAGAACCTTTGAAATCCTTGCCCATTTTTCTTTTATTTTCTTTGGGGCTTTTTTTAGCATCAACAAAGCCACCAAAGCAAACTTGCTGCTGTTTTATGAGTGGAAAATAAGAACTGAAATATACTGCTAAATATTTTTAGGGTTTTAAGTATCTTGTCACTCATCCAATTCAACCTGAAAAGGCTTAGCTCTCAGCATGCAAGTAATCCCTTTAAAGAAAACTGCATAAATGTTGGCAATATGAGTATTCACATTACTTACATTATATCTTGGAAATACTTACTCATTCTGATTGAAATATGTACTTCAAGATAGAAGGAGTACCTTTGCCATAGGATTTTATGAAAAACTTTATTGTATTTCAACACAAAGAGTGATATTATTTAATGTGAAACAATAAATAAAACAATAAGAATACTGTAATTGCTTAACTTGCACAGTTTCTTCTTATTCCTCCAAGTATTGTATCAGCAGAGCAGGCAGTAGGCACTGCCTGAATAGATTTAGTAACTGGAGGACTTAGACTATGTTCTGAAAGTTCAGAGCCCCAGACATGAAGGCTTGAACTTAGCAACTGAGATAATTCATTAAAACACTGGAGTTTACTGTAAAATTCAAAACCACCTGAAATTTGGTTCCATTAAACATTTTGAGGTACTGTCCTCATTTTCTGAATCAATAACCTGATTATTGACATCCTTTTAAGTACTGTACTGCTTATATAGTTTGTTTGATAGTAAAAACAACCCTACTAGGTCCATTCTTAGTCTGCTTGCAGGAAAAACTTTGTAGTTTTGCCTTTTTGAAAAGAAGTCATGACATATAAAACCACCTGTGGTAGGGCTGTGATGGGCTGCTCAGACTCTGAACTTGGCTGACTGCCTAGTCATGGGAATGCTGAAATCAGAGCATGGGAGGGGAGAGCCATGCATTCAAGGAGGGGATTGAGACAACATCAATTTAGATCATTTAACTTGCAGCCAGCCCTAAAGGGTGTTGTATCATGGTAAACAGTACTGTTATAATATGGTGTTAAAAGCTGGTGCTTTTGATTTTTGTTAAGACAAAAACTTTGGAAAAGTTTCAGGGTTACCATCTTTTACTGACATATGTAATAGAAGGCAGTGATTAGTAGGATTTAACAGTTAAAAATTTTTCTAGCTAGAGTCTTGTTGATGCTTTTCTTTGCAATCATGATCAGCAATCATCGTGAAGTATCTCCTATATGGGAAGCGTGTGTGCCCCAATGTGTCCCATCATTAAAACCAGACTATTATTTTATCTTAATATATATGGGGTGAATTTAAAGACTGTTTTTATACTTTGCAGTTCATACTATACAATAGTTAACAGTTCATCTTTCCAGAACACACTGGGAAAACACTGATGCCTTTAAGAATATTTGGCATATTGATTTTGTCTATAGTCATCATTTAAAAATAGGCAGTAGACCTAAATAGTTTATAGGTTAATAATTTAATTTGTATTGCTACCATCTGAAAGGCAGTGAATATGGTTACATTCAAAATTTAGGGGTGAATATATTGTACCTTGTATCTGTTCCTTTGAACCTCAGTAGTGTATTTTTCCGCTTTCTCATTCAGATCATTGCATTAGTATTAAAGCCACAGGAATGTTTAGTGCTTTTTATCTCTTATCCAGTAAAAGCTAGAAGGCCAGCACAAGGTATATTTTTCTTGGCACAAGCCAAGGATATACCTTATTATGTTTCTTCTGTGTGTATAAAACCCCATGATCATGTGCATTTGGCATGGTTAAAATGAAAGTGGGTATTTGTTTATGTGCCAATAAGTATGCATAGCTGGAAACAATTATTTTCAAAGTATCATTCATATAAATTCTCCAAGCTGGCCTTCATATTTATCTTGACTTATGGGTATCTGTGGGGATATAAAAGCCAACTATTCTTTAGTTGTGACTGTCCTTTAATTGCATCGCCAGGATGCCTGTATATGAAATGTCATAGTGATACCCCACTACATCTTGAGGTTAATCAACTAATACAGAGATGTTAGAGTGCCCAGGTAGCCAAGGAAGGCCAATGACATCCTTGTATGAGAAATAGTGTGGCCAGCAGCACCAAGGCAGTGATTGTGCCCTTGTGCTCAGCACTGGTGAGGCTGCACCTTGAGTGCTGTGTCCAGTTCTGGGCCCTTCACTCCAAGACATTGAGGTGCCTGGAGCATGGCCAGAGAAAGGCAACAAGGCTGATGGAGGGTCTGGAGCACAAGTCATATGAGGAGTGGCTGAGGGAGCTGGAGGCATTTAACCTAGAAAAATTAGGCACAGGGGAACCTTACCATTGTGTACGACTACCTGTCA